TATATTATTATAGGCCAAATGACTTACACCTTATCATGTTTGATTGTCAAGTAATAAAAAATTTCAATAATTGATGAGTGCTTGGAAGCGCACTCATACTTAGAGATTTTAAGGTTATTTTGTGAGGGAATTAGGTTTAATTGGTTAATTTTACTTAATTTTTGGATCTCTTTTGTTTTCCAAAATCACGGGTATTTTTTTGAATTTTCAAGTATTTAGGTGCTAAAAATGAGGATTTCAAGCATGGACATTAACGAGGAAAGAATCAGAATTGTGTGGGAATAAACCATTCAAGAATCGAAGCTCAAACGAAGAAGTTATAGATTTTTGAAGATTGTTCGCGGCGGAGAATTTTTGTGCCGTGGCGTGAGTGAACATGCTGCACTAAAATGGGTGTAAATTTCTCAACACAACTTCGATTGACCTAATTCCAATGGATTTTGATATATAAAAGATAAATCTATAACTTTTATGTTTTGGTCGTGATCCAGTTCAATATTTAAGATGGCTAAAAATTGATCTGAAAGTTATGTCAGTGCATAGAAGACAAGCAAATGCGGGTTCTGAAACATGCCTTAGTGTTGTTATGATAACTTGAGCTAACGACCTCATATTTAGATGATTCTTGGACCACTGGAAACATGATTCAAATAGATAAAACTAATATGTTTATGGCTTCATCAGATTCAAAATTTTTCATGATAAAAAATGGAAGTCTTTCGGCACACAATTTTCCAGTAGTAGCTGTTAAGGAGAAACAAACAGAAAACAAAAACTTTGCCAAGCTACCATAAATTCCTCAAAGCAAAATGGGAGCTACCACATATTTTTGTAAAGCTTTGGAAGTCTAGTTTACTAGAATTTTACGGTTCATTATTCCGAGATTTCTAGAGGAAGATATTCATGTTTTAGTACCAATGGGTCAGCATAGGAATCCTAATTCTATAAGGACTCAAGTTAAGATTAATCCGAATTTTATTCTCCTATTTTGCATATGATTTTTCCCATTACTTTCCCACAACCCTAGCACTATAAAAGGATGGCTTTAGGTATTTTTTTTTGGGGGAGGAGACTAAAACTTTGAGAGAGGCAAGGAGAAGAGATCTACGTAGGGCTTCATATTTTTCTCTTGTACTTCATGTTTTTTAAGGGTTTGATGTTTGATTTCCTTATAATCATGTGTAACTAAATACTTTTCTAGGGTCCGATGTGACCTAACATGAAGGTTTTATGGTTTGATTAATTTTATTGTTCTATTGATTCAATATATTTCTAGTTTCATTCATTGCACTTAACTCGATCTTGATGTTTTGTATGAAATAAGTATGGTAAACATCATATGCTAACTTTAAAATACAAAACAATTGATTGTTTAAGACAAGATAAGGTAAACATCGTATGCAAAACTTGAATAGGTCTTTTGAATGATTGGATTGTGTTGAGGCAAACATCAGGCTAGATACAATTTGATTCATATTTTTAGTACTTTTTGTTCTTAATGGGTTCTTGATTGTTAGACTTTACTAAATATCCTAGTGAGTTTAATAGTTAAAAACACTTGGTTAAACCCGAACATCAAACAGTAATACTATAATGATGGAAGACTGAACCCTAGGAATTGGATTGAGACGGCAATAAACTACTTATTAGCAGAGAATCATATTGTTAAGGTGAAATCGAATACCTAGGTTTTTCTTGCATTGGTTTTCAATTAATTTTTAATTTTTTTATTTAATTCAATTGGTTAAGAATTTATTTTGCTTCTTTAGTAATTAGTTTAATTTCTTTTGTTTAAAATTTTGTTTATTTTATTTGTTTAATTAAGGCATAATATATTAGGATTAATTGAATGCTTATAAATCTCTGTGTGATTGACCATTGCTTTTGCACACTAGACTACGATAGCGATTTGTGCACTTGCAAGGAATTAAAATTGTTCATCAATAATATTCCAAAACTAATAGTAATTATTGTTAGTTATATAGATGGTAATATGAATATCACCATTTTCTTAGGTATTCTAAGATTACTTGATAATCTTAATTTTGTTACAATTTTACCCCTAATGGTGCGTTTGGATAATATAATGTTTTACTATAGGGGGATGTTATATTAATGAAAAAATATATCACTTTAAAGATTACTAGGAATGTTTAGGAAATATGTTTGGTTGGTTCGAATACATTGGTGAGTAATATATTTGGTTGGGAGGATAAATAGGTGGGTATATTATAAAGATTGCTAAATTGCCCTCCTTTTTAAATATTAATACAATATTATTTTTTATTATTATTTTTTGAATCATTCTTTTAACCCCCTACATTTGAAATTTTGCTAAAACACCCTAGCTATATAAAACTTTAATTTGTAGCAAAATCACCCCCACCCACCACAAGCCACTGTTGGAAGCCAACCACTACCATCGCTCGCCGCCAGCAATTGATAGAATGGCACATGACTGGCCGCATATGGCCAGCCATGCATCGGAAAAACCATTTCCAATTATGGATCACAAATCCATGGCCGTTTCATGACCACAAATTTGGTTGTGAAAAGGCTATATCTTTGGCAGTGAAATGACCACTGTTTCACAACCAAATCTGTGATCATTTCACATGCACATCTTTGGTCGTGAAATGGCTTTATCGGCGCACGACCAGCTAGATCCTATCGGTCGTTCGCCATTACGGTGACTGGCATCGGTGGCCGGCGGTGGTCTTGGGTGACTAGGGGTATTTTGTTAACTTTTAAACTTCTTGTGACTGGGGTGTTTTAGCTAAATTCTTAAATGTAGGGGGTGGGAATGTTTATTTGGTAGACATTTGAAGATAATTGTATCTGAAATTGTATTTAATTAAGAGCAAAATATGTATAAAAATCAGATTACCTGGCATATTTTGGAATTCGTAGAATTGTTATGTCTTGACACATTAGATTGACAACTAGGATTTGTTGTTTAATGAGTCTAATGAAATTGCTCCATCTTGACACATTGAATTTGTATTTGTTGCTCTATCTATAATTACTAATTAATAAAAATTATTAGATATGTAGTAATAATTAATAATAATAATAATTTTAGATGTATTGTATTAACTTTCTAAAGATTTAACCATTTTGATTAGGGGTGGAAAAAAAAGACCGAAAACCGAATCGAACCGAAAATTCGGTTTTTCTAAAATCTGGTTCGGTTTTCGGTTTAAAAAATTCATAAACTGATTAATCGGTTCGGTTTACAAGTTTTTTAAACCGGTTAACCGAAACCGAACTCTAAAACCGGTTTCAAAAAATAAATAAATAAAAACTTTACATATTATTATAATTAAACTTCAGCCCACCGTCACTTTTCTCTTTCATCTATCTTTTCCATCATTTTCAATCTTGTCCTGCACTTTTCTCTTTCATATTTGTCCGTCACTTTTCTCTTTCATCTTGCTTTTTCATCATCATCTTCTCCTTCACTTTTCTCTTTCATCTTCATCTTCTTCTTCTCCATTTCTTCTTTTCACTTTTCACCTTTTTTTCGTCTTCTTCTCCATCTCTTCTCCTTCAGTTTTATGATATTATCTTTCTTTTCCGTCTTATCTTATCTCTGTTCCTTTTCTTCTCTTCCATTTTTCTCTCTCTCTTTCGTCTTTTTCTCCAATATTCAAGTTTATTTGATTTGTGAAGATGTAAGAAATTTCGTCGTCGCTCAGCTGTAGTCGCCGTTATCGCAACTGCCGTCATCGTCTGTTGCTAGTGGGTTTTAGATCTGGGTTTTTAGATCTGTGTTGTCACGTTTTCAGATCTGGGATTTGACATTGAAGATTTTGGTTTTAATTTGTATATGTACTGATGGTGATGGCTGGGTTTTGACATTGAAGCATCAACACATTTTGTATATCAAATTTTATGCAGCAAACACAACACCACTAATCTCATCTGCCACGGCCAGACATAAATGATGCATGGAAAATATTTGTATTGGGACCATCAGGCTTTCTCTGCTTCAAGTTCCATTATCTTCTACTCTGCTTTTAAGCTTTTGTTTCTTCATTTGCAAATGCAAAACCTCCCAATAGAATATGTAGATATAGAAATTCTCAATGCTAATATCAAATTTGTGTAGCAAACAGAATAAAAAGGAAATTGCAAAACAAGATTAAACGATAGAAAAATTACTTGATTAGTACAATATTTAGCGAAAAGTAACAGCAATTCTTGTTGTTTTTGGGCATTAGCAGTTAAAAAGAGAAAACAAATAAAAAGAGAAAACCGAATTGGGCCGAAAAATGCAGCCCATAATTCATAATTGGGCCAAAAAAAATGCAGCGTAATAATAATCCTAATTAACCGGTTTAAAACCGGTTAACTGGTTAACCCCAAAACCGTTTCGATTCAATTATTTTTTTAAGCCGAAAACCGGTTCGGTTCAAGTTTCCGGTTAACCGGATTTTTCCACCCCTAATTTTGATACTTGGATGTGTATTAACAAGTATACAGATGTAATGCATTGCCTTTGTGAATGTTCAGTAGAAATTTCTCACATCCACATCCATATCCACTTAAAGAAAGATATTAATTTTCTTTTTTATGTGTATATGTTTGTCTGTAATAAACGTCGTTTCAATTTGTTTATACTGGATTTTGAAATTTTCTTTGTACGTTGGAAGTTTTTTGTTGATTCGGGTTGTAATTTCTTTCCCTCACTCAGCTTCGCTTATTATTATCTTCCAGTTCTTCATTTTAATTTCTTATTTTGTCCAATTTTTTTGCAGTTTTCGTGTAGAAGAAGACCTGGGCATGTTCAATCCCGTAACTTCTCATCTTTCTTTGTTGAATGGTTGTACTATGAGTTCAAGATACCCTAATTCATAATTCTTTATATATAGTGCTTTAAATTATATTTATATCGCTTATTATTATCTTCCAATTCTTCATTTTAATTTCTTATTTTGTCCAATTTTTTTGCAGTTTCTGTGTAGAAGAAGATTCGGGCATGTTCAATCCCGTAACTTCTCATCTTTCTTTGTTGAATGGTTGTATTATGAGTTCAAGATACCCTAATTCATAATTCTTTATATATAGTGGCTTAAATTATATTTATAATGGTAAAAGTTTTAACCATGAATCTTTTCTTATTCAACAGTGACAATTGCAGCATGTCGATTGTTAATTTCCACAAAAGCTGCCCCAATCCTGATTTTTCTTATGATCTCTGCCTGACTTGCTGTGGAGAAATAAGAAAAGGTTTTCAACAGGGACGTATTGAAGAAGAGCTTTCTGAATAGCAGTTAGCTAAAAAAGCAAATGGTCAGGTTACAGATTTTGACAGCCAAATTTCTGCAGACAAGATCACTAAGACGTCATGCAACTTTCCTGATTGGAGAGAAGAGGCTGACGGTAGAATTCCTTGTCCTCCCAAAGTACATGGAGGTTGTCGTACTTAGATACTTGCACTAAGACACATCTTTGATGCTAATTGGATTGGAAAACTGATTATGACTGCATAGGACCTGACTATCAATTATAAGCCGCTGGATATTTTTTCTCAAGGATGTGTTTTGTGCAATCATGTTCTGCTGAAAATGGAGTAAAAACTTTTGGAGTTAGGCAGGCAGCTCATAGGGACAGCAGTCAGGACAATTATCTCTACTGCCCAAATGCTACTCAATTGGGAAACAATGAAATCGAGCATTCTCAAATGCATTGGATGAGAGGTGAACCTGTGATAGTTACAAATGTGCTTGAAAAGACTTCTGGTCTTAGTTGGGACCCAATGGTCATGTGGAGGGCTTTTCAAGGGACAGAAAAGATTTTAAATGAGGAGGCTCATAAGGTTAAAGCCGTTTATTGTTTTGATTGGTTTGAGGTATGTGTTCATGTTTGAGTTGTAGTACACCTTTCTGTAGTTGCTGATATGTTCCTCTAGAGGCATGCCTCCTACTGGCCCAGTTCCATTACCAGGCCAGCATTTTACTCGGTTCATGCATTATTACTTTTTACTTTTTCCTTTTTAATGATAATTGGTTTTGTAAGCTTTAAATCTGCTCTGTATTTTTACTTTCATACTGTTATGTGCCCTTCATATGCCTGTTGCTTCACTCTAAACCAAAATCACAAGCTTCTCAGTACAAAACGAGCATTTAACTTAAATTCTTGACTGAAGAGTTTACATAAATTCTCAACCATTCATTCTGTTTAATCTAATTTTGTATTAAAAATTTTGTTGCAGAGGGTATTGATGTTGCAGCTTCTCATCCATTGATTACAAGCGGAGTTGCCATTTGTTTAGGATCTACAGTATTGAAAAGTATGTCCTAGATACCTATATTTACCTGTTTTCTGTCTATCGTATAGTTGTGTGTATTTAGTATGGTAAAATTTTGCTATTTAGTCTTTTGATTTGTCTATTATTAAATATAATTAGATAGCCATGTATAAGTAGTACTAACAGTAAAATATGGAAGGATATTTTTTTCTGCTGCAGTGGGCATTAGCAGATATTCTTAATGTGCATTGTCCTAAACACAGCTCAAAACCGTGGGTTTAGTCTTAAATTATCTTGAACCCTGAGAACTTACTTTGCTGGTGATGACTTTTTGTTGGTTGGTTTACATATATATGGTTTTTCATGAATGACATTCTGGACCTTTATAATATCCTCAGGATTGGTCTCTTGAACTCCAAGAAGTTTTTTCACTAGAAAGGGAAGGAGAATTTGATAAGAATGCTCCTCTAGCATGGTAAGTTGCAATTAATTTACTGAAATTAAAGAGAAAACACTTTTGCAGTTAATGTGATGTGTTATATTCTACTCCATCTGCTGTAAAAATTCTCCACTTTGTAGTTTCTTGGTTGACTCATTTTGTGGGAATACTTAGCCGAGGACGGAGAATAGCGCATCCTGAAGCACCAGTGATAAGCCTCCTGTAACCAAAATATACAAGAAGAAGAAAAAGGGCAGCCTGGGAAATTCACTGGACAGGGGCAGCAAAGGAAATGCAGTTTAGAATTAGTTAGGAAGAATCTCCACGTAAGGGAGTGCGGAAATTATGATTTCAATTGTATTTAAGAGAGAACATTTGGTTAGCTAAGGAGGATGAAATCTGGAATCAGGGGAGGCTACTAGACCCTCGAAGTGCTAGCCAACTTTTTCTTTTCTCTGTCATTTTATTTTCTGTTTGCAGTGTTTGTCAATCCAAATCAATATATAAACATATCAGTTGTTTTTAGTACAAAGTTGTTTTACTGAATCTCATTAACAATATTTCATTGAGTTGGTGTGGCTTTCTGGTGATCCCATCAACTAGCAACTGGCTATATGGTTCTCTCACTCTCCCACTGTTTGTGTGTGGTGTACCTAATTTTGAGCTTCCATTTGAGATTCAGACGGATGCTTCAGGGGCTGGAATGGGGGCCGTTTTAGTGCAGAATGCAAGACCAATTGCTTTCATCAGTAAGGCTTTCTCACTGCAATCTAGGTTGAAGTCAGCCTATGAACAGGAACATATGGCAATTGTCTTTGCCGTTCATAAGTGGAGTCATTACCTCATTGGCCAAAAATTTGTCATCAAAACAGACCAACGCAGTTTGCAATTTCTTACAGATCAATGGGTTAAAACGCCAGATCAACACAAGTGGATTTCGAAGCTCATGGGATACTCTTTTGAGATCCACTACCTTCCAGGCAATTCTAACAAGGTAGTTGATGCATTGTCCCGGAGAGAGGACACCAAGGAGCTCATGGCCATTACCACAGTCCACTTCACAGACTTTGATGCTATAGCAGCTGAAGCACAAACTGATCCGAAGCTAAAACTTATTGTCCAAGACCTTCTTTTCGACCCCAAGAGTCGTCCTTACTACCAACTTCGCAAAGGCTGCCTATTGTTCAAAAACAGGTTAGTCCTCCCTAAAAACTCCACGTTCATCCCAAAGTTGCTGGCAGAATTTCACTGCAGTCCGAGTGGGGGCCATTCTGGGTTCTTTAGGACTTATAAATGAATTGCTGCTATTGTGTATTGGGAGGGTATACGTCGGGATGTCATTAAATTTGTTAAGTCCTGTGCCACCTGCTAAGTTAACAAACACTCCTTACTTAGGCCTGCCGGGTTGTTACAGCCCCTGCCCATTCCCACCCAAGTGTTTGATGACCTTTCGATGGATTTTATAGGTGGGTTGCCGAAAGCCAAAGGGGTTGACACTATATTCGTCGTCGTCGATCATCTCACAAAATACTCCCACTTCTTATTGTTATCCCATCCTTACACAGCCAAGGATGTCACTAGTGTGTTTATAATGAAGATGGTAAAACTACATGGTTTTCCATAATCTATTGTCTCGGATCGTGACAGGGTCTTCATGAGCCAATTTTGGCAAGAGTTGTTTAAAGCTGCAGGTACATCTCTTAAATTCAGCTCCGCCTACCATCCCCAAACTGATGGGCAAACGGAGGTAGTTAATCGATGTTTAGAAGCCTACCTCCGCTGTTTCTGCAGCTCCTAACCACGATAGTGGCCTAAATGGTTAGTGTGGGCTGAGTTTTGGTACAATACGATGTACCACAACTCCACCAAAATGACCCATTTCAAGGCTCTTTATGGCAGGGATCCTCCCATTCTGTTAAAGCTCACAGACTGTCCCTCCTTGATTGAAGATGTCAACTGCCAGATTAAGGACCGAAATGCCATTTTAGAAGACCTCAACACAATTTGGCTGTGGCCTAAGGTCAAATGAAGCAGTCTGCCGACTCCCATCGTCGAGATGTTGTTTTTCAATGAAGCTCCAGCCATATCGGTTTCGATCCTGAGCTCAGAAACTCAATGAAAAGCTAAGCCCTCGCTTCTATGGCCCCTTTAAGGTGTTAGACAGGATCGGGCCTGTCGCTTATCGGTTGGATCTCCCTTCTACTTCTCGAATCCACCCGGTGTTTCATGTTTCCCAACTTAAGCCAAGCCTCCATTCTTCAGTTCCTGTTCAACAGCTTCCCCCCTTTTTAATCTAAGACTTGGAATTATAGGTCAGTCTTGAAGTAGTCCTCTCCACCCGCAAGTTACTGGATGGCTCCCTGGAAGTTCTGATTAAATGGCATGACCTCTCATCATTTGAAGCCTCTTAGGAGGCTTATGACACCATCCTACTGTAGTTTTCGGATTTTCACCTTGAGGACAAGGTGGATCTTTAAGAGGGGGGGGGGGGGGTATTGATAAGCCTCCTGTAAACCAAAATATACAAGAAGAAGAAAAAGGGCAGCCTGGGAAATTCACTGGACAGGGGCAGCAAAAGAAATGCAGTTTAGAATTAGTTAGGAAGAATCTCCACGTAAGGGAGTGCAGAAAGTATGATTTCAGCTGTATTTAAGAGAGAACATTTGGTTAGCTAAGGAGGATGAAATCTGGAATCAGGGGAGGCTGCTAGACCCTCGAAGTGCTAGCCAACTTTTTCTTTTCTTTGTCATTTTATTTTCTGTTTGCAGTGTTTGTCAATCCAAATCAATATATAAACATATCAGTTGTTTTTAGTACAAAGCTGTTTTACTGAATCTCAATAACAATATTTCATTGAGTTGGTGTGGCTTTCTGGTGATCCCATCAACTAGCAACTGGCTATATGGTTCTCTCACTCTCCCACTGTTTGTGTGTGTGTGTTCATGTGCATGTGTATGTGTGTGTGTTTGTGTTCAGGTGTATCTGAACTGCAAGACTAATTAACTTTTTAAGAATCTTTCAAAATAGTTTGGCTAGGGGATATACTTTGTTGACCTGGTCAGTAAAAGTGCTCGGTATTGCTACACTAATAAGAAAAATCCTGTGGGCCTAATGCTTTTTAGTGAAGTAGCGTTAGGAGAGGTCTACACGGTCAAGAATGCAGAAGTGAGTTCACCTTCCATTTTACATGTGTATCCTAAATCTTGATGTTTCCCTGCATTGTTATGTGAGTCTATTGGGTGGTGGTTGTTTTTTTTTTTTTTTTTTTTAATTGTGTCACATTTGTTTGTTGAGATATTACACACTCATTTATTGTGTTCCTATAACAATTATAACTTATGTATGCTGCTACATCATTTTGTGTGTAATCCTGTATTATAATGTACACGTTTTATGGGCCCAATATAATGTGTAGCGTGTGGGAGAAATAATTTCTAATGCATATGTTTCCATAACAGTTCTTCTTCATAGTAATTTCTTTCTGCTCTGTGATTCAATATATGGATAAACCTCAGAAAGATATGGTTCATTCTGAACCATGAAAAGGTTAGAAATGTGTTTGATGACACGAAATAGTTAGACCAAGGTGCTAGAAATGATTGACATGTGAGTGAGACAGAAGCATTATATAGATGTTTTGAGGTTTTTTTTTTTTTTTTTTTTTTTTTTTTTTGTATATAAAATGCTCATTTAGTTGTAATTACAATGGTAATCACGATCGATTTGAGGTTTCATGAAGTAGGCCAACCTCAATAGTTCAAATATTATATTTGGGGGCTTGAGCAAACTAACATAAAATGTACTTGACCTTTGTAATTCATTGGCATGATCTTTTTTTTTTTCTGAAACTTGTAATACCCATTACAAGTTTAATTGGATTACAAAGTTCAAGCTAATGCTTATTCATTGGCTGCTAGACAAAACATTGAGATCCAAGATTAATTTGCTGATTTTCTTTTATTTAAACATCTTTTCTGCACTGATCTTTATTGTTCAGCATACTTGCTGCCAAGATTAATCGCTTCACAGTTTACGTACTTGAAGATTAACCAAAATGTCTACTAAAAGTCTGATTTATTTTATTTTATTTTCAAGTTTTGGCAGATATTAATTTGCATCTTTTGAAATATGTCCAATGGGTTAACTGAACAACAATTTTGAATCTTTTTGCCCTTCATGGATACAACTGTGTATTTGTTTTACCTTTTTGAAACTCTATTTTGTTGAATAATTATAGTTTTAGCAATTCCTCCTATAAAACTACTTTCATTCCTTTCTTCTTCCTATCACTCAATTTTTACAACATTGATCTTATCCATCTAATTATAGTAACACTGTGTATTTTATTCAAACTATTAAGATTTTAATAAGGCGTATGTCAATTGATTTTAAAAGAAAATATTTAAAGTTTTGTCATGCTTGAAATTGTAATTCACTAAGCTTTTCTCTCAAATTTTGCTATAAATTGTCACTTTTCATACTAAAGAGATTAAATTTTCATTATAAATATCAGTCTTCAACTTCACATAATAGTTACACAGTGTCCAAGGGTTTACAAATCTTAAATTAAATGGTGAATGAGAGAATGTTCCTCTAAATTAAAATACTCTCAAAATTTTTCCAAATCTTGAAAATAAAGCATAAAAACACATGTCCTCTCACGCCTTCCTTATAATTACAAAAAACCTGTGTTCTTTCATACCATCCTTATAATCACAAAAAACCTCCAAAACTTCAATTTTATTGTATGGTACCATATGATACCATATCAC